TTTGCAGCATAAAACTGAAATGTGTAACAACAACACACACACACAAAAAGAGAAAAAGAATATTGTTAGCTAAAGTTTTTTTTGTAGATGCCCTTTATCACCTTGAGAGAGGTCCCCTTCTAGTTTGCTGAGAATTGTTATCACGAACAGATGTTACATCTTGTCAGATGTTTTGTGGCATGTAATAAGATGATTATATGATGTTTTTCTTTAGTCTCTTGACATAGTGAATTACATTGGTTGATTTTTGAACGTCAAACCAGCGTTATGTTCTTGGAAAGAAATCCCACTGGTCATGCTGTATTATCCTTTTAATCTATTTCTAGGTTTCATTTGGTGATATATTGTTGAGAATTTTTTGCATCTATATTCACATAAGATACCGATCTATAGTTCTATTTTAATACCTCTGTGTATGTGTCACATAAGATTAATGCTGGACTCATAAAATAAACTGAAAATGTTTGCTCTTTTTTTCTGGAGAAGTTTACGTATAATTGATATTAAATGTTTGGTAGAATTTGCCAGTGAAGTAACTTGGGTTTGGAGTTTTGCTTTTTCCTTTCCAAGTTTTAAAACTATGCAATTTTTCATAGATACAGTTCTGATCCCTCCCCCATCCCCTTTCCCCTCCTTTTCTTCCTTTCTGCTTTCCCTTCTCCTCCCTTCCCTCTCCTTTTCTTCCCTTTCCCTCTCCTTTTTTGTCTCCTTCTTTTGGAAAAAGAAATAGGTTTTACTTCTCTTGGCACAGAGCAATATATGAAGGTGGCTATGTCCTGACTCCAAATATGTCTTCCATGAAGACGTCCCTCAGATATGTCCAGTTATCTGCCATGTTTCAGTGTTAGAGAATTGGCAGTTGGCAGATGAAGAACCTCAGGAAGGTTCTTAATGGCATTTTTGTTAAGGAGGAAGTTTTGGGTCACGTGGAAAAGATCAGACCCAAGAATGAATATCCATCCTCCAACTTCCCAGGGAAATCTAAATCCCAAAGGTTTTATGAAGAAAGTCTCCTCTCTGAGTGATCTTTGAGAGGAAGAGCCCAGACCTACTCTTTGTATATAAGGCTGAGGCAGACAGAGGACAGGGTGAGCAGCAGACTGCAGACTCAAGGCAACGGAGTGAAACGTCTATGGGAGAGCTGAGGGGACTGAGAGAGACTAGAGTTCCAAGTCACAAATCCCACTCCTTCCTAAGCCATGAACAAAAGCTGTTCCTCTAGGACTAGTTTCTCCAGCAACTATCTTTGCTCCAGGGCACAGAAAGGACAAACCATGCAAAAATCTTACGGGTATGAAAGGTGGAGAGTTAAAGTAGCAGACCAAGAGATGGACATTTCCATAATAAACATTCATGGATCACACTACTTTTGAAGCCATATGCCATGATTATGGTAGAGAATGAAGCTATGACTGCAATTCCTAGGATCAGGAACCAGGCAAGGATGCCTACTCTCCCCATTGTAGTAGATGTCCTAGGCGATGCAGTAAGGCACAAAAAAGAAAGAAACCACACAATTAAAACCATTCTCTGCCTCAGGAGGAGGAGAGGAAAAGAACAAAAATAAATAGCCATTATCTATACAGAAAAATAAAACTCATTTACTACTAACATGATTGTTTATAAGATAAATCCCAAAGAATCTATTAAAGTATATTTTAAAGCTACCAGACTTATTAATGAAGTTAGAAAAATCACAGAGTAAAAAAATCAACATAAAAATCAATTGTTACAGTGTGGAGGATAGCTTAAGAAAGAAAAAAAGGAAAAACAAAACGTAAAAAAAAAATCAACTGCATATTGCGAAACAATGCAAATGTTTTCAATGCCACTGAACTGCACACTTAAAAATTTTTTAAATGGTAAATTTTATGTTACGTACCTTTTAGTACATTTTTTTTTTAATGATAGCATCAGGAAGTTATCTAAAAGAAACAAAATGTCCTGAGCCACCTGAGAATTTAAGTCTTTATTAAAAGTTTTTTAAAAAATCAACTGTATTTATATATACTGGCAATGAACAATGGGAAACTAAAATTTAAAATACAGAACTACCAAAAAAATGAAATAGGTATAAATTTATCAAAATACATGCAAGATCTGTATACTAAAATCCGGAAACACCAATAGAAAAAAATAACTAAATAAATCATATTCATGGATTGAAACACTCAATACTGTAAAGAGGTCAAATCACTCAAAATTTACAATCTCAATCAAAATCCCAGTAGATTATGTTACAGAAATCAACAAGCTGATTCTAAAATTTATACAAAAAGGAAACATAACTAAAACAGCCACAACAATTTTGAAAAGAAATGCAGTTGGAGGACTCACATGACCTGATTTCAAGACTTTCCATAAAGCCATAATAAGGAACACAACATGGTAGTGCCGAAGACAGGCACATAAATCAAGCAAGCAAAGAGTCTCTAGAGTAGACCAACACATAATCAACTAATTTTCAACAAAACTACAAAGTCAATTAAAGAAAAAGTAGTCTTTTCAACATCCATATGGAAAAAAATGGACTTCAACTTATACCTCACCGTGTACATAGGATTTAACTCAAAATCAAGTATAGACCTAAAAGTAAAAAAAGTAAAGCTCTAATCCTTTTGGAAGAAAAATTAAGAGAAAATCTTTGTGATGTGGGATTAGGAAAACATTTCTTAAACAAAATACCAAAGGCATGAACCATGAAAGATAAAACCAGTAAACTTTTACTTTCAGATTAACAACATCGATTCTTCAAAAGGTACTGTTAAGTCACTGAAAAGACAAGCCACAGATACAGAAAATATTTGCAAACATAGAGATTATAAAAGACTTATGTCCAAAATATGTAAAGAACTGTCAAAATTTAGTAATTCAAAAAAAACAACAAAATTTTTAAATGGCCAAAGGATTTGAAGAGATAATTCACCAAAAAAAATACCTATGACAAATAAGCAGAAGAAAAGATGCTCAACATCACTTGTCATCAGGGAATGCAAAATAAAACCACAGTGAGATACCACTAATACCTATTAGAATGGCTAACAATAGTAAAGAAACTGACAATACAAAGTACTCACAACAATGAGAGGCAATTTTTGGAAAAGAATCTGCCAGGTTCTTCCAAAGTTAAATATACACTTATCCCTTGACCCAGTAAATCCTATTCCTATGTATTTATCCAAGATAAATAAGAATTTATTTTCCCACAAAAATCTATAGGCAAATAGTTACAGCAGGTTTATTCATACTCTCCAAAACTGGAAAAAATTCCATTGATAAAGATATAAAATCCACAATGGAGTAATGTAATACAGTAAAAAGGATTAAACTACTAATACATGGATAAATCTCAAATGCATCATGCTAAGTAAAAGAAGCCAGCATTCTTAACTGTAGAGACAGAAAAGAGAACAGTAGTTATCAGGGCTGGCAACGGGATAGGGTAATTATAAAACGGTAGAGGGAATTTTCTAGGATAGTACAATTCTGTATCTTGATCATGCTGGTGATTACAAGATTATGCACTATAGAAACTCATAAAACTATACACTGAAATGAGTGAATTTTACTCTATGTAAATAATACCTCAATAAACCTGGCTAAAAATATCAACTAATTCACAATGATTTTGCTCCGATAAGCCAGGTCAGAGTTTCTCAAAATACAGAACCAATGTTTTCAAAACCACCTTTAACAAAGAATATTTGGCACAAATAACATAGGATAATAGTCTCCACACTAAACCAACTGAATCAATCCTTTCGTTAGGGCTTGGAATCCTCATTTTTACAGAACAATCTAAGTGATTCTGATACATACTGAAGTTTGATAACCTCTTGGCCAGAGTATGAATCAATTTTTTCTACTGTATTAAATGTGAACTTAAATGTTCTGACTATAGAAATATAGCTTAGAGGTATAAACAAATTACACAATATAATTTGACAAGAAAATTACACATTAACATAAATATTAATCTAATATTATATATTAAGTACCAGCATCTTTAAACATACTTCTTTTTAAAAAAGGGGGGGGGTAGTATAAAAGTAGCTCACTCTTTACACACTAAGACAAATGAAATATATATATAAGTATATAAAGTTATAAAAATCTAGAATAAAATGGGATTTTTTCTTTGTAATAACACAGACATAGGAAAGGCCTTCTAAGGACCAAAATCTAGAAGCCAACAGTGGGGGGAAAAAATCCTTAAAATTATTAATTTAATGTTAACTGAAAAACAAAACAAAATATGGATAACATAAAAATATATCTTTATAACACATATAACAAAAGATAAATTTTCTTAAATCTGCAAAGAGCTCTTACAAATCATCTAGATCAACAAACCAGTTTTAAAATCTGGGTGAAACAGTTTCTCAAAAAAAAAAAGAAATGACTTATAACCACTTCCTTCAGTTTCTCTTTCTCCCACTCTTCAGTCTCATTCTTTAGCCAATTGGAATCGTAAAAGGGAATTTCCTACACCCACTTCTTCGTCACCTTAGGTCTCAAGTGTCTCTACGTGTTCTGTGCCAAGATTGTCAGAGAAGAGAATTCAGAGTTGTTATTGTTTATAGCCAAAAATTGCATTTAATTTCTAAACAGTAAGTTTTAATTATTAATTTTTGGTCTTAGGAGGATCCATATTAATTCCTTCTGACTCATTATTTGATTTTTATCTTATTAGTTTCTTTTCCCCCTTTACTTGGACCATGGAATTAACTGCAATGGCAAAATCCTGGAGAAGGATCACTCTTGCAAAGGAGACATGATGTATATAAAGCTAGGATCTGTGATAAATTCATGTTTTACTGAGGTTCTCAAAATGGAAAAACTATTATTCCCAAGGAACAGTTCTACCTGAGGCATCCAGTTCGGGACTGGTTCATTATTACCAATTTACAAAAATAATATTCTTCTAGGGAAATTGTTCATTTTATTAAATTCTAACCCATCCCTCCAAAACAAACAATGTGTTGCTTGATTTTGCTCACCTCCTCTCCTGACAGGTAATACGCTGCAAGCAGGCCTCCAATAAATCGAATGTTGACTTCAAACACAGACACCTCTGAATTCTGTGAAAAACATATTGAAAATATTCACAAATACGTAATGCCTTACAGTTTTCAAAGCACTATCAATACTTCATTTGCTTTTCACAAATACCCTATGGAAAATATTTTTCTACTTACTGCATCTTCATTTCTCGTACAATTGCAATCTCTTCTCTCATTTGTTAATGTTACTGAAACTTCTCTACTGCTATCACCACAGTTCCCTAATTGCCAAAACCAACAAGCCATTTTTATGTATCTTATTCAGTACTGTGAAATTATCAACATATTTAATAATGTTAACTATTGCCCTTCTTCATGAAAGCTGTCATTTCTTGAATTCTGGATCTTGAGTCTATAGTAAGCACTCTCTACTAGTGGTCCTTCTTTCTTCTGTTCTAATCACTACAGCATAATTTTTATTTCTATCACTCCTCCTGGATTTTAAGTATTTTTCCTAGAATATATAATAAATGTTAAAGGAGGCACCAAAAAAAATGGTAGAATGATAGAGTATTCAGTAATAATGTTGACAAAATTGCCTCCTGGGTTAGAAATTAATATAAATACTCATTTCACATATATATCAAAATGAAATCTAAATTATTTAAAAATAAATGTTAAAAAAATTAAAAAGCAGAAGAAAGTGTGACAATATATAAATTTTCCTGAGAAAGCAGGTACTTAAGCATAAAACCAATAGTTTTGATAAACTGATGACAGACAAGAAATTTTTCTAAAATGCAAATTACCTATAAGAAAAAGAATCATGAACAAAATTAAATGGTATACAGATGGAAACTGCACAAATATAGTAGTATTAATAACCTCACTAGAGTCTCTATGTTTGTATTTATATATTGATATAGATATTGCTAGAAATATTCTAACTCATGGAAAGAAAAGTGGCAGAGAACATGATCAAAGAATTGACAGAAGATATACAATTAATATGAAACCATTCATAGTTAATTTTAATGAAAATTAAAAGGAAAACTGTATTACTCTTAAGATTTTCCAACATTCATAGGCAGACACATCGCCTGCTAACACACTTCTCCAGTTTAGAATTTTCAATATAATGTAATTTTTTGATAACATGATTGTCGTTCCATCCCACCCTGAAAGTAAAGTGCTTAATATTACTTCATATATTTCCAACATCTAACATACCACAGGGCACGTATTAGACATTCACCAAATATGAGGAGAAAGGAAAAAAAGGCAGGAGGGCCTCCATCACAAACCAGAACTGCAACAATAACCGTCCAACCAGTGTCCCTGCTTTCATACTTACCCTCCTCCCCTACCCTCTATTCAGCACACTATAGTTAAAATGAGCCTTTTAAATCTTACATCAGTTTAGGTCACTACTCCGTGCAAACCCCGACAACGCCTTCACATTATACTCAGAGTAAAATGACCAATAAGATCCAACATGTGCAGATCCCCTACAACCTCTTTGACAACTCTCGTACTAATATCCCTTTGATTCATCTGACTATGTGGGTCTACCTGCTGTACCCAGAATTGTCAAACTTGAAACTCCTACGTCAGTCTTTACAGTTATTATCTCTTATCTGGATGCTTCCTTTCACACAGCTGAACAAATCACTCACTTCCTGTAGGTCTCTGAATTAATGTCACCTTATTAGAAATTTTTTCTGACCATCTAATATAAAATATTAATATCCCTCTAACCTTGCATTATTTCCCTAATTAACACATCATCACCTAACAATATAATCACATGGTAATGAAATATTTTCATTTGTAAAATGATCTTCCTTCACTACAGAAACAAAAGGTATGAGAAATTCTAGAGGGACAGAAGGGAGAAATTGGATACAGACATTTTTGAAAGAAGTAACTGAGAATCTACTAAACTTGATGAAAACATAAGCATGTAGATTGATCAAACATTATGAGTCCTTTAAAGAATAACCTGCCTGGGCACGTTGGCTCACGCCTGTAATCCCAACACTTTGGGAGGTAGAGGAAGGTGAATCATGAGGTCAGGAGATCAAGACCATCCTGGCCAACATAGTGAAACTTTGTCTGTACTAAAATACAAAATATTAGCTGGGCATGTGGCACATGCCTGCAGTCCCAGCTACATGGGAGGCTGAGGCAGGGAAATCGCTCGAACCCAGGAGACAAAGGTTGCAGTGAGCTGGGATCACACCATTGCACTCCAGCCTGGCAACAGAGCAAGACTCTGTCTCAAAAAAATTTAAAAAACAACAAAAAAAAAAAACACTAGACATGGTAATAGAATTACAGAACAGCAAAGTGAAAAATAAAATATTAAAACAAGGGAAAATATAGATTGGCTTTTTAAAATTAGACTGAAAGCACACTTTGCAATAATATAACAACAAAAGCAGGAAAGACAAGGAAACTGTACCTCTATTCTCAATTTTAATATCTATTAAGACAGAACTGTATAGTCACATGGCTCCCCTTGGGTCTCTTCTCAGAAGCATAACTTTAACAAAGAGTCCTTCCAACGCCATCCTATGTAAAATACTAATAGCAATATCCCACCACTTACTCCAATCCTACCTACTCTTCTTTGTTACTCTCCACAGCACTTATCATCACCATCTGATACACTATACATAATTTACATGTTTATTGTTTTGCTCCCTACACCAGAACACAAACACAAAAAAGAGATAAAACTCTGTTTTATTGATTACTATATGCACAGAATCTAGAACAGTGCCTGTTGCAGAGGAAGCATTTGACAAATGTATGCATTTATTTATCTATTACTCAATTTGGAAGTTTAAAATACAACTTGGGATCAACTAGATAACAATTACACACAAAATAAAAGGGAGATAAGTTAAAGCATTCTAAGATCCTTATATTCTTCAGGAGGAGGATAAATCAATTGATTTTTTTTTTCTGGAGACAGTCTTACTCTGTCACCCAGGTTACAGTGCAGTAGCATGATCACGGTTCTCTGCAGCCTCAACCTCCTGGGCTCAAGCAATCCTCCCTCCTGAGCCTCCCAAATAGCTGAGACTTATTTTCTGCAGAAAATATTATTTTAGCTCTGACTTTGTTTCCCAGGCTGGGCTCAAGCAATCCTCCTGCCTCAGCCTCCCAAAGTGATGCCTGGCCTAAAATCGATTAATTTTAAGCTCGATAATTTTAATATATGGGCCTACTTAGAGTTACCCTTAAAGTTTATATATATTTATATATACTACACTTTGAAAGAGAAAGAGAGAGAGAGAGAGAGAGAGAGAGAGAGAGCGCGCGCAAGAGACAGAGAGTGTGTGTGTGTGCGTGGAGGTCTACTTTGGAGTTACCCTTAAAGTTTGAATATATATATTATATTGTTTATTGTTTTGCTCCTGACTCCTAAAACCAGAGGACAAACACAAAAAAGAGACAAAACTCAAGTTTTAATATATTTTTATAAAATATATATGTGTTTATACATATATGTATCATATATATATTTAAACTTCAAGGATAACTCCAAAGTCAATAGAAATGGAAGGTATAAATGTCAAACTAGTCAAGGGAAAAAGAGAAATGATGTAATTTAATCTAAAATAACAGAAAAAAAATAAAAGCAAATGAAAAGTACAATCATAATATAAGTAGCAAAACAAAGATGAAAGACCTAACTCCAAATATATGTTATCACAATAAATGTAAATATATCAAACTTAACAGCTAAAAAGACTCTAAGACTGGATAAAAATAACAAAACCCAAATACTTACTATACGCAAAATAAGCAGCTAAAACATAATGACATTAAAAGGTTGAAAGAAAGGAACAAAAAAACGACTGTGCTGATTATTAAACTAGTTCTCTCAGGTTCAAGTCCATTCTTCTGTACTCTACACTTTGGCATATGGGAGTTGGAACTACACAAATGCATTTAATTTACCAGCTGGCTCCCTTTGAGGCACTAACAATAGGAGGTGCTAAAAAGACAAGACTGGAGGAAGAAGAGTCTTATTCCCTCCTGTTTACTTCTAGTTTCTGATAGTGTAGTACCAGCCAGGGTTCACCCTGCAGTGGCAATTGTTTCCAGAGTACTGTTCCCTGTCACACATACACACACACAATCCCCAAATTAGCTTCATCGTTTCTTTACAGATACCAAGCATTTGGCTAAGCATCTCCTCCTCAGAGTCTGAGTTCCAGCTATGACACAGTCTTCTTAAGGTGCCAGTAACACCTGGGCAACACAAGTACTAGTTCTACAAAGCCCAAGCGACTGCATTTTAATGATCTCAACCTCTTGCCATTGGTCTTATAACCCCCACAGGTGGCAGCTGTTCCCTGTTTCCTATAGTTACTACCTCTGGTGCTATCACAATGCTCTCTTTTTGCCTTGTTTCCCCATTACTAGGATAACAATTCTACACATGAAGTCCTCTAGTTAAAATAAATGATATAGTTCTGGTTCCTGATTGAACCCCAACTGATAACAATGATATACAAGGGAATTATTAGCCATAATAAAGTTATCTGTTAATGAATGGGAGTATTGCACAGATGCTAATTCTCCTCCAAATTTATCTGTAAATTAAATGCAATCCTCATCAAAATTTCCACTCAGCTTTCCAGAAATTGAAAGAACAAAAAGCTGAGAATTAAGGTAATTTCCACAGAGAAACAATCAGATACCAAAATTCAGATACAGACATCAAGCTTCTTATAAAAAAAATCATAGTTAAGACAGTTTAGTATTGATGTAAGGATAAAGAAAAAAGTCAATGTTAAAGAATAAACTATAATATGACTAATGTGGCATATAAAAATAGCAGGGAAATAAATGGTACTAAGATCAATTAATAGCGGCCTGTTTTCACCATACATTAAAAAATCAATTCCATTTGGATTAAAGACTAAATACAAAAGCAAAACTTTAAAACCTTCAGAACAAAATACAAGAAAATATCTTCATGACCTAGGAGTAGGGCTTTCTTAAACAAGATACAAAAGCACAGTCTGTTATCTAAAGGCGTGTGACTTAACAACCATGTCAAAGCTAAGCAGTACCACTTAACCCTGCTAAAGTGCCAGAAGAATGGGTACAGGCCTAACTATGAAAACTCATCGGAACTGTGCTAGTCACTAAACTTTAAAACACATGCGCACGCACACACACACACAATTTATAAAGTTGTTATGGTTGCCTGATGCTTCTAGTTAATTGCATTTTCCCCTACTGACACATTTAACACCTTGCTCCAAATGATAAGTAAAAGAAAAGATGATGAGAAAGGATGCACATTTTATGCAAAAATTAAATAACAATTCATAATCCCAAAAGAAGAAAGAGGACTTGAGGTTTCTTTCAAGTCCTAGTATAATGCTGAAAATTACTATGGTTAGTATCTTAAGCTGTTCAGGCTGCTATAACAAAATACCAAAAACTAGGTAGCTAATATAAAATAGAAATGTACTTCTCACAGTTCTAGAGACTGGAAAAGTACAAGATCTAGAAGCCAGCAGATTCAATGCCTGCTGAAAGCACACTTTCTGGCTCACAGATGACACCTTCATGACCTCAGTGCCCTAACACAGTGGAAGAGGCAAGGAGTTCTCTGGCGTCTATTTTACGAGGGTGCTATTTCCATTCATGGGAGCTCAGCCCTCATGACCTAATCACCTCCCAAAGTCCTCATCTTCTAGTACCATCGTATTAGTGATTAGGTTTCAACGTATGAATTTTAGGAAGGCACAAATGTTCAGACAGTAGCAGTTAGACATTGCGTTTTTTCATGGTCAATCTAAGAGATTAATTATCAATTGTACACTCACCACACTGAAATCTAGGTTGTCTTCAATCCATCTTTGCCCATCTAGAAATTCATCATGAAGTCCCATGATATAAAGGGTATCCAAAGCATCTACTATAGTAGCACCCATTTGTGAACTTCCTATATTTGGGAAGAAAAAAAAATTAGGCTCCTGGTAATAATATACATAGTTTAATATATTTTAATAAAAATAGTACTTTGATAATAGGACAAAAAAAAAAAACAACTAAAAGCATACTTTTCCTTAATTTTCAGCCCAGTCAGAATATGAGATATCTATCTACTTAACTGAGAAAGGAAAAAACAAGAAGAGTGATTGAAGAAAAGGGGAGAGTAGTTCAAGATGACAAGCTGAGTAATAAGACAACCATGTCCTTCTGGTCTGGACCAAATTCACAGAAAGAATAAAAATATGTTTTAAAATAATGAATGTATAACAGGACTAATCACAATGGAAAAGAAACTTAATCCTTAACAATCAAAAAGCAGGTAGATCATATAGAAAAAGGAAACCACCAAACAAAATATGAGTAGAGAGAATAAAAATAAACTGTAACTACTTTTTAAAAAGAGGTAATACTGATCATTAAAAAAAAAAAAAAAAAAAATTCCAAGGGGAAGAAATCAACAGAGAAAGGGAGGAAGAGAGGGAAGAATTAATTCAAAACCAGCCTAACTGATAACAAAACTAGATAATGAAAACACAAGAGAAGAAAACAGGCCAATCTTACTAATGAATATAACTGTACAAATGCTAAATAAAATAGCAGCAAAGCTAGGTTTGTTTTGCTACTAATACAGTAAAAAATCTAGTAATATAGCAAAAAAACAGGGAGCAGGGAGCAGATGGGTTTTCCCCAATTCCATAAATGCAATTATTTCTGTCCTCTGAAAATGCAAATGATCCACACAGCTTGCTGCCTGCATTAACATGGCTTTTACTATTACATTGTGTTTCACAACGTGAATTTACTGTTCCAGGAGCTCTTGTCCAGAAAGATAAAAGTTGCAAAAAAAAAAAAAAAATTTATTGTTCATTCCAGGAACTTCCTGAAATACCCATCAACTCTTTAACAGAAAGTATCAAATGATAATTTATATTCCAAAACTCTGAAAGGCTATGACTCCAGTGAGGTAGTGATCTTCTTATCGGACTAATAAATAACAGTTCCGTCTTATCAACAGGTTTCCTTGATGATTTTTAAGAGCCAGCATTCAACATTACTTAGTTCATATTTTCCATTTACTATTCTTATCTTTTTTTTTTTTTTCCATTCCTCTTTCTACTGGGCAGAAATTGTTTTCTTCCAATGGTTTGAAGCTATACACAATTTGTCCTTATGATGGTTGTCCTTAATTTACATGCCATTTTCTTGTTCATGTGTTCCTAATAATTTCTTCAACTTATCAATACATCTGTCTTCTCTTAGCTGACAAGAACTCCAACACACTCTGATAAATTCCTTGGTCTTCTCCCTACTCAGTTTCCCTACTCAGTCTTGCTTAGTTCCACAAGGTGCCATGAGCTAAAGAGCTCAAGGAAGAAAAGTGTAAAATTGAAATTACTGGCCATCATTACGGTTGTCTACCTGGACAAGTCAAGATTTCAACAGGAAAAAATTAAAAAGCCTAACACTATTCTTGGGTCAAAGCAGCAGCAAAACATGACACTACAGAAAATATAAAACATCATAAAAATTTAGTATGAGAGTATGGGAATCAACTAAAGCAGTTCTCACAGAGAAACTTAAAATATTAATACTAGTTAACAAGAACAAATGAAAATAACTGAATTTAACATTCTAAGGAAGAAAAAAATATTGGGGCAAAATAACAGAAGAAGAAGAAAATCTAAAGGCAGAAATGGATGAATTAGAAAGAAAATTATTGAAATAACAAATTCAAGAAATGGTTCCATGAAGAACCATACAGTGAATCTACCATTTACCTAGTTTTTAAAGGTAGACAAGACAAAAACAGGAAATAATAAAAATGCAACAACAGACAAGCACAGAGGTTTTTTTTTCATTATAAAAGGCCCACTTCATTCATATATTCACAATAAATTTGATCTTTCTCAAGAAATATTACTCTTGACTTGAAAGAAGAAACAGAAAAATCTAAATGGACAAACCAAAAAACAGAGAAAATAAAGAAGTTTTCAAAGAGCTACCCGCTATCAAAGTACCATACTCTGGAAGAGTCATAGAATGAATATTACCTTAAAGTTTTATACTTTTAGCTTTTATATTTAGCTCTGTGATCCATTTCCAGTTAATTTTTGTATACAATGTTGAAGAAAGAAACAAAGTCCATTGTTTTCCCAAAGTTCATTATTAATTTTTTTCATTATTAATTTTAAGGCTAACTCCTATTCTATACAAACTTTTATATAACACAGGGGAAAATATCTTAAAATTCAATTTGTAAATTCTGTATACCACTCATGGAAAAAAATCGAATTTACTAAGAAACATACACTACATCTGATCTCATTTGTGAGCACCAAGGGAATATTTAGGAGTAGACCTGCCAAGCTATACAGTAAGTTTATAAGAAACTGACAAACTGCTTTCCACAATGTGCCATTTTACACTCCCAATACAATTTGTAAGAGATATAGTTGCTCTAGCATCGTTGTCAATATTTAGTATTGTTGATCTTCAAATTTTAGACATGTTAATGGGTGTGTAGAAATACTGCCTTGCGGTATGAATTTTACTTTCCCTGCTTACTGATGTGTTTACTGATTCATATACCTCCTTGGGTGGGGAAATATTTATATATTCTGTATACAACCTTAAGTATGTATTTCAAGTATCTTCTCCAAGCCTGTTGTTTGCCTTTCCAATTTCCTGATGTCTTTGGGGAGCAGAAATCTTCAATTTTCATTAAGTTCAATTTACCAATATTTTTCTTTTATACTTGATGCTTTTTGTATTCTGAAAAATCCTTGCTTACCTCAAAGTCACAAGATATTCTCAAATATTTTCTACTGAAAGTTTTATACTTTTAGCTTTTCTATTTAGCTCTGTGATCCATTTCCAGTTAATTTTTGTATACAATGTTCAAGGAAGAGACAAAGTTCATTATTTTCTCATATAAATACATGGTTGCTCCAGCACCATTTGTTGGAAAGACTATCCTTTTAATCACTGAATTACCTCAGCATCTTTGTTGAAAATCAATTAACCATGTATGTGCACGTCTATTTCTATTCTTTTCCACAGATCTCTATGCCCATCATTACACTAAAACCATACTGTCCTCAATTGTAGCTTTACTGTAAATTATAAAATCAGGTAGTGCAAATCCTTCAGCTTTGTTTTAAAAAAAAATCACTTTGACTATTTTAAGTGCTTTCTATTTTTATAAGATTTTCGAATCAACTTGCCAATTTCTACAGAAAAGTTAGTGTCATTTTGATTGGACTGCTCTAAATTTAAACATAAATGTAGAAAAAATTAACATCCCAACAATAGTGAGTATTCAAATTCATGAACATGGCATTTCTCTCCATTAAGTCCCTTTAAATTCCTCTCAAAAACAACATGAAGTTTTTCAGTGTACAGGCTCTGTACATATTTTGTCAAATTCATACACATATAGTTCATATTTTTTGATGTTACTGCAAATGACACTATTTTTTAAATTGCATTTATAACCATTTGTTGCAAGTATACCAATACATATAATTGGTTTTGCATACTTGTAACCTGTAACATTTACTAAATTAGTTTATTTATTCTTCTATCCTTTTTTGGTACATTCCTTCAGATTCTTTCTATGGACAATTATGTTGACTAAAAACATAAAGACAGTTTCACTTCTTTATTTCCAGTCTTTATTTCTTGTTTTCCTTTTTTTCTTTCCCTGCATTAGTACACTGGCTAGAGTACAATGTTACATAAAAGTGAGAGAGTAGACACCTTTGCCTAGCTTGCAATCTTAGGGGAAAGCATCTAGTCTTTCAATAGTAAGTATGTGGGAGGTATTTTGTATTTTTTGCTTATTGTTGTTATTTTGAAATTCTCTTTATCAAACGGAAGAAATCCCGTTTCTAATTTAGTGTGCTAACAGTTTTTATCATGGATGAATATTAAATGTGATTAAATGCTTTTTCTCCAGCTACTGGGATGATCCTAAGATTTTTCTGTTTTATTATATTGGTATCTTAAATTACACTAACCAATTTCCAAATATAAAACCTACCATGTATCTCTATGATAAACTCCACTTAGTCATAGTTTAATATACAATAAGCCTTCAATATTCACCAGTTTCATATCCACAGGTTCAACCAACAGTGGATGAAATATTTTTTAAATAGTTTTAAAATAATACAGCAATTAAAAAAATAAAAATTTTAAGATACAGCATAGCCACTATTTCTATTGTATTAGGTATTCCAAGTAATCTAAAGATAATTTTAAATATATGAGAGAATATGCTTAAGTTATATGCAAATATTATACACTATTTTATACAAGGGACTTGGGCCAACATCTGTGGATTTTGTTATTCTCTGAGGTCCTGAAATTAATCCTCCATGGATATTAAGGGACAACTGTATTACTGCATAAGATTTACTAAAATTTGGTTAAATATTTTTATGTCTATGTTCATAAGATACTGCTCTACAGTTTCCTTTTCTTATAAATATCTTTGTCTGGTTTTGATACTAAGGCTTTAGCGGTGTTCCTAAGAATACATCATCCTAAATGCATAAACACCTAACAAGAGTACCTCAAATTACATGAAGCAAAAAATTACAGAACTGAAAGAAATCCAAAATAAGAGTTGAAGACTTCAACATCCCTCTCTCAGTAACTGACAGAACTAGACAGGAAATCAACTAAGATAGAGATAGCCTGGACAACCCCATTAATCAATGGGATCTAACTGACATCAATAGAACATTCCACACAGTAACAGCAGAATATACAAATACCATTCTTTCTAAGCACAAATAGAAAATTCACCAAGACAAACCTGTGTCAGAAAGCAAATCAAAAACAATTTAAAATAATTAAAATTATGTGAAGTATATTCTCTAATCTTAATGGAATTAAAACGAGAAATCAAGAACAGGATTTTTTAAAACTCTAGATACTTAAACTTACTCAAGGAAAATTTTAAAACACTGAATGGAATGAAAATGAAAATATATCAAAACCTCAGGAATGCAGCTAAAGCAGCAGTTAGAAAGTATATAGTAATAAATACATTAGAAAAGAGGATCTCTGGTCAATAATCTAGGCTTCTACTTAAAAATATTAGAAAAACAAGAGCAAAATCACCCAAATCATGCAAAAGAAGAAAACAATAAAGAGTAAAAATTAATAAATGAAAACACGAAGAAAATATTACAAAGATCAATGAATCTAAAAGTTGTTTCTTTGAAAAGATCAATACAATTAATAAACTTCTGGCAGGACAAGAAAAGAGACAAAACATAAATCACTATTATCAGAAATGAAAGGGGAGTATTACTACAGCTGCCACAGACATTCAAATGATAAGGCAATACTCCAAACAATTCGATGCATATAAAATCAGTAACTTAGATAAAACCAGACCAATTCCTCAAAAACCACAAATTAACAAAACTCACTCAAGAAGAAGCACATAAACTGAATGGTCCTTAATGTAAGAGAAATTAAGTTTGTAGTTCAAAAACCTTCAAAAAAAAAAAAAAAATCCGAGATCCAAGTGGTTTCTTCAGCAAAATATAGTAAACATTTAAGAAAAAAATAAAACCAATCCTAAACAATCTCATCCAGAAAACTGAAAAGCAGAGAACACTTCCCAAATCATTTTATGAGTCCGGCATTACTCTGATACCAAAACAAGACGAATATAAGAAAAGTACAGAACAATATCTCTCATTAACATAAAAGCAAAAATCTTCAAAATATGTGAAAATCAAATCACAGTTAAGTCAGAAGTAACAAAAGAAATTTATTTACATATAAATATATTCACACACACCCCTGAAAAATAAAAAGCACCCTTCAAAAAGCATTGCAAAGTCAAAGAATACTCTTTTTCCAAATCAAAATAATTCTTCTACATGAAAAAAGACCTATCCCTAACAAAACTTTCTATTCTCCAGAATATCTCAATAGAAAGAATTCATTCTGCTTTTTTTTTTTTTTTTTTTTTTTTTTTTTTTAGTGAAAAGGTTTTGCTATGTTACCCAGGTTGGGGCACGGTGGCTATTCACAGGCATCATGATCATGGTGCCCTGTGGCCTTGGACTCCTGGCCCTGTGCGATCCTCCTGTCTCAACCTTCTGAGGAGTTAGGACTATGTGCCACTGTACCCAGCCATTCTAAGTATTAATCACTGTTAGAATAATTAGTATCAGTGCTAACTTACATCCAGCAACACTTCTCTCTCCCCTCTCCTGGCTCCAGAGCCAGGCCCTCACTGAGAAAAATAAGAAGAACATATCACCATCCTCCTAAGTACAGCATTTTGGTTCAGCAACTGGCACAAAACCCAATAAGGGACAAAAAGAAATAATGAGTCTTTCAATTCTATTTCTAAGACAACCAAGAGCTCTCTTCTCTACAATGTTCTCTTTCCTACAGATGAGGTAGTACGAAGATATGAAGCTTCAAACTGTTGCAGCCATCCTGCTAAGAAACCAGCTTGATGATATAAACTACACAGGAAAACAGAAGAGATAAAGTAAAAAAAAGGCTCAGGTAGAATCGGGTATACATCAGGAATTCATTTGGCTGATTAAGTTCCCTTTTTCATTGAAGCCATTTTCCAATAGATTTGCTGTTTTCTACACATAAAGAGGACTCTGATGCTAAGAACCAACTGGACAGAACTCAGAGGAGCCACTATCTCAGTTACCTGTATAAAAGAACTATTTAATTATCAAGGCTAACAAAATGGGGCAAGTTTTAAGTTCATGTTTTCCCTAAAATCTAGAATACTAAAAGCAAAGGTTCAATACCCACTCTTATGTTACTACAGTAACAGAGGCTCTAAGATTCTGATTCAGAAAAGGCACACTAAATTGGAGATGTCAAATGAGAAACTGAGAACTAATTACTACCCTTCTCTTAGACTTTTTTTTATTTTTTAAAAAAAGAAAACATAAAAAAATTGTATTTTTAAAAAAACTCAAATTGTACTTACTGGCAAGAATTTGAGATACACAAAAGGAAGAGAGTAGGAAACGAAGTATAAAAAATTAAAGTATAAAAAATGATCCTTTAACTGCATAGCTATAAACATAAGACAAAACATAATTATGGATCTTATTCCTACTTAGGTTATCTGGCTGGAAAAGAAACTGTAACCACTTAAAAATTTAATAAAAAATAATAAGCACCTAATTTAGAGTATTGAAAATTCTGCAGATTTTTACTTTTTCTACCATTTCATTATGATTTCCTTCTCACAATAGATGTTTCCCAAACATCTAAATTAATTTTCTTCTACCTTCAAAGTTTACTAAAGCAGCAATATTTATTTGGTAAACAGACAGGACCAGTATCTATTTGATAAATATTAATACATTAGATGTTCTTACAAACATCATTTGAAAAAAGTAAAAAATTAAAATTCAATTCTTATTTTCAATACATTTTTATACTCCAATTTTTTTTAAAGGCTCACAATTTACCAGAGTTTAACATAAAGGAATAGTTACTTGAAGGGAGGATCTAACGTATATTGACCACTAAACATAACGTCTTTAGTGCCCTAATGCCTCATATCATGACAACAAAGCAGTAAGAACTTGCCAGTCTGAAACACTGCTAATACACTTTATTTCATTACATGATAGCTGATAAATTAAATAACATATTATGAAGTCTCTGGTACTCACTGATTACCTAAAGGAAACTTTTTTCCTTTACTCCTTATCACATCTCCCAAACCCCACAGAAATTATTAAGACATTTGCTTTTTTGACCAAGAAAAGCAACAATGAACAAATTATAAGGGAAATCACAGTATTAGAAAAATCCTTCTCTAGTGTCAAAAAGAAAATTGCTGTTATTTGAATGACTGTGATGGTTTACTACAGGTGATAAAGAAAATCAGATTGCATATAACTAGTTTGTTTCTTTTTAGCCCATTAAAATTTTCTGGCCTTCATCTATCATTACTTAAAAGATAATCATCAAGTCACATTAAGAAGCATTTAAAATGGGGGAAGGAGTGAGGACTACAAAGAGCAGCTTAACAATTCTCAGGACTTATCTTTGGGTTTAGTAAACATTGTTAGTTAAATTAGTTAAGTAAGTTAACTTACTCTTTGAGTAAGTTAAACTGGGAAGTTTTATAAGTGAACTGAGTTGAAAGAAGGTAGAATGAACAAACTCAAGACGAACACAACTCTTCCCCAAACCTCCATTCACAGAACACATTGTTAATGTTTCCTTAAGAACTGTGCATGTACAACATAACCCACTGAATTCAGTAACCCAATCACCCTGGGTATGTCACTTTTTTAGAAAAATGTACACAGGACTACAAGAATTTCCTATCCCTCCCCTCTTCCTCTGTAATGTGAGTATCAGAATAGGTATTATGTTGAAAAAAAAAAAATGACAATAGGTGCTTACCTTTCCTGACGCTGAAGAAAAAAAATGCCGAAAAAAAGCTTTAAAACACTCAGATAAATGACTAAAGCCTCCATATGCAAACAGAAAATCTACCACATATCTGTGTACTCCAAAGCAACTGGAACTTAATGGTGACGGACACTTGCGAAATTCATACCTGTTTCTAAAAACTGTAGTTCCACAGAAACGCTCAGATTTTTTAAAGTACTTTAAAAAGTTACATCTTGTTTTAAAAGATGGAGGTAGAAAATGGAAATAGTAATTAGAAAAAGTAAACTTACCAAATATGTTAGTGGAGTGTCCTTTCCTTGCAATAGGTCTGAGTTCATTATGTCCCCACCCATATGTCCTGTAGTTATCCCAGGCATGTTTCATCATCTGAAAAGAGAAAAATTATAAGCCATGAATTTAAATTTTTCACAGACTGTTACTTTTATTTCACATAATTTTGGGTTCTATTACTATATCCTTGCCCATTCTTCTAGATCAGGCATCCCCAAACTGCGGCCCGCAGGCCACATGCGGCCCCCTGAGGCCATTTATCCGGCCCTCCGCCGCACTTCAGGAAGGGGCACCTCTTGCATTGGTGGTCAGTGAGAGGAGCACAGTATGTGGCGGCCCTCCAATGGTCTGAGGGACAGTGAACTGGCCCCCTGTGTAAAAAGTTTGGGGACGCCTGTTCTAGATCTACATTAGTATATTATCCAATTAACATTTGTATCAGTAAGAAAACACCCATAACTATGTTTAATCTCATCTATATAATGGGAAAAAAACATGGGTATAATAGACAAGTCCTTTTTCTTCGGGAGGTACATATCTGTTTAGCATTCTTTCCTTTTAAGAAATGTCAGTCTTTTGGGGAACAAGCTCCCCCTCTTCCTCACATACAACAGAGCTGTCAATCAAGAGGCTCTGTTTCTACCACCAATTAATCCAGCCTAGCTAGAAAACCCCTTATCCTTAGACCAGAGATCAACAAACTAACTCTGCTGTTATAGCACAAAAGCAGTCCCAGGCAATATGTAAGTAAACTGACACAATTGGGTTCAAGTTAAAATTTATTTTTAAAAAACAGACAGAAAGCACAATTTGGCCCACAGGCTGTAGCTGTCAACCCCTGCCCTAGACAAAGTGATTGGATACATGTGATTCAAGCAGGAACAATTACGTCCTTTTTACACATACTGTTATAGACACCAGGAGATAGAGGGACTTTTTTATTCTGCAATCTCATGGTCTACGTAATATATAATTCTGGAGCTGATAATGGCTCTCTCGCAACATAGAGAAACTAGCAAAAGGAAAGAGACAGAGTCACATGCCTAATACTGACAGTATTATCTACAGACTTGGATTCAGCCAAACTTGAAGCCCTTGTTTAGAGCCATCAAACCAATAAATACTTTTTGTATCACTTAGTTTGAGCTGAGTGTGTTGCAACCCAAGGGCTTTTGGGCTATACAATAGCAGAGTATTTAATTGTGTATCAGATGAATTATATAATAGTAGACTGTGGTATAACAAAAGTCTATACATTTAACAGCATACTATTCATTAAACATTTCCCAATTTGCTTTATGTAGCCAGCATTAATCAGACACCAAAATCAAGCAAAGATATTACAAGAAAACTCAAAACCAATGTATCTCAAGAACACAGATGCAAAATTCCTTAATAAAAATTAGCAACATCTAAGGAGGATACTATATCATGACAAAGTGGAGTTAATTTAACCCAGGAATATAAGATTAATCTAACATCCAAAAACCAATGTAATTTACCATGTTAACAGAATAAAGAGGAAAAAATCATAGTCATCTAGAGAAAAATGAAGACAAAGCATCTGACAAAATTCAACACTCATTCAAGATAAAACTCGCAGTAAACTACAACTACAATGAGACATTCTCAACCTAATAAACAGCATCTTTAAAAAACCTACAGTTGACACATCATAGTTAATGGCAAAAGACTAAATACTTAACCCCTAAAGTTGGGAACAAACTTGGTATGTCCATTCTCCCCACTTATTTTCAACAATGTACTAGAACTCCTAGCCACTGCAGTACAAGAAAAAATAAATAAATAAAAATCAATAAGGAAAAAGGAAAAGTAACTCTTCACAGAAGACATGACTATGTATAAGAAAAATTACAAGCAATCTACAAAAAAAGCTGTAAGAATTAATAAATGATTTCAGTAAAATAACAGGATAAAAGTTTGCCAAACTAAAACATATTTATATGTGCTGAGTTCCGTGAGTACTTCTGGTGAATCACTGAACCTGAGGATCATCTGGAGGTCCCCTGAACACACATGGTTATCTATCTGAATTATGTTTATTTGAAAAAAAGTATTTCAGTAACTTGTAATGACATCTGAAAAAAAGCAAGTCAGGTATCTGAAAAAAAAATCTATCACTCTCTCTCCCAACACTGTCCAAAGGAAGTGCTATAAGCAGTCTACATATTAAAAAGACTCTCGAGGTGAGGTAAAATCAGAACACAGATCTATTTCTACTCCATCGAGGTAAAGGTTTTATAATAATTCATAAGGCTAAGCTTAAAATATCTGCTATACCTTCCATATCCATTACTAGAATATATCCAAATAGATATTTGACTATTTGAACTTAATTTATCTTAGTAACAATTAAACCTTCTAAAATACTGCTGGTGCAATTACACTCTGATAAAAATATTTTTCTTCACAGACAGTATAATCACAAACTCCACCCAGAATTTTCAGGAGTTCTAATTAACAAAGTTTAATTCAAATATTCATTAGATTTTTCCCATCTGGTATTCTCTTTACCTTTAAGTAATTATAGAACAACAAACTGAAAGACTTCCGAGGCTAAATAAAGAATTTTGAAATCAATTCTTTCCCATTCTTCAATCCATGGAGACTCTGGAAGAAACGTGGCTAATCTACAGTATAGTTGAGGGGTATCATGACATGTTGTTTAAAAAATTGGAGATACAACGCTAACTCTTTAGAAACATGTTTATGAGGGGATCTGCGTAGTATCTGGCAGAGTCCCTTTTAACTGAACATTTAAGAAACTGCTTAGGTCAATGTTAAGTTATATACATATATATTATTTATAAAATGCTGAATTTCAAAAGATCTCTTAACAAAGAATGAGTGGCACCAATCCAAATGTTATATAAAAAGCTTATAAGTGTCCAATAATTATATTATAATCAACATTAAAAAAAAAAAGAGTTCTAGTCCTTACGAAAGGACCAACCTGTAAACTCTACCACAACTATGACACAAGAACAAAAAGATCAAAACATGACACCACAGACGATATATATCTGTTTATATCCAGTCAAATACAAATCCATAAACACTCCATATCACAAAACTCAGCTTATTACCTCTTTAATTTTTTCCCTTTTCTCTCTTATGTCATTATCTTCTGGGTCTCCACCACTTATTCCTACAAGGTTGGGAATAGGGACTGGCGGCAGTGGCTTGTTCTCTTTTATCTTCATTTCTTGGACTACCTTATTTTTCTCTGTCTGAATTTCTGCTCGAATTTCCTCTTTTGACTTTCTTAATTTTTCTTTTGCTTCTTCCAAGGCCTTCTCATGATCAGCTCGAATTTTATTTCTCAGACGTTCTTCTTCTTCCCTGTGAGGAAAGGAGGAAATAAAACGTAAGAGTGAGCCTACTTAAGAATGTCAACCTTTAAATGTAAAACATAAAGTTCTCTCCATTAAGCCCAGAGACTTGTTTTCTACTTTTGCCATTAAAAGTGAAGAATTATCAGTGAGAGAGATTCAGATATGGTATGAGAAAGAAAATGAACCCTGGATGCCTAAGATCAAACTCTCTTTATAATCTCTTTATAAGATTTCCAGACTAAGAGCAGAGAAAACAGTAACTTATCCATAGACAGCTGCAAAAAATAGACACCAGTGAAAACTAAATGGAGGAGAGAAAATAAAAATAGAGTAAGTATCAGAGAAGAGACAAAAATATAAACATAGGGCCAAAGAAAAAGAGGAAAAGATAAGAGAACAGAAAGTTTTTCATTTATATAGTGCACCATATGCTTCTAAAACCTTTAAATTTTCAAAAGTACATAGATATTATAATGTAACATGCCCAACAGATATGGGTATAATTACTTAAAACTCTCTTGAACCCTTGTTAAAAACAGATTCCAATTTAGTAGATCTATACATAACCCATGAATCTGTACCATGAGGGGCTCCTCAGATGATTCTGGTGTACACGCAGATTTGGAAATCACTACTGCAGTGGATACCTACTCAGTTTTCTATCCAGTCCTACTTTTGTGAAACAGAGTTCAATATTCCCTCTATAGTCACACTAACCCACAGGAATGAATACAAGAGTGTACTTCCTGTAAACCATTCTTTTCCAAATCAACCAACCAACAATATCTACTCTAAGGGTAAACACCTAACCCAACAATCACTAGAGTCACCTCTCCAGAAATTTAATTCAGACTCTCCAGATGCCTGAACTTATAACATTGCTAGTGAGAATGTGAAATGGTGTAAATTTTTCCACTTTGGAAAAGTTTGTGTTGTTTTTTTAAAAAAAAAAAAAAAACTAGAGATTTAACTATCATAGAATCCTACAAACGCACTTTGGGGCATTTATCTCAAAGAAATAAAAGCTTATGTTCATTAAAAAAAAAAAAAACTATATACAAGCTGGTCACAAAAGACAAATACTGTATGATTCCACTTGTAGAAGGTACTTAAAGAAGGCAAAATCCTAGAGACAAAAAATAGAATGGTGGTAAGCCAGCCGGCCAGAAATGGATAATGAGAAGTTATTGTTTAGTGGGTACTGAGTTTCAGGTCTGCAAAATGAAAACAGTTCTGGAAATGGATGCAGTTATGACTGTATAATAATATAATGTATTTAATAGTATTAAACTGTATAAAATGGTTAAGATGGTAAATATTATGTTAATTGTATTTTACCATAATAAAAATAAACTGGAGGAAAAAGGACTATACACCACGTTTATAGAAGCTTAATCCATGATAGACAAAAACTGAAAACAATCCAGATATCCTCCAACAAGCAAATGGTTAAACAAAACTGTGGTATATCCACACTATGGAACACTACTCGGCAATAAAAAGGAGTGAATTATTTATAAACACTCCTTAAATGAATCTCAAAGGCATTCTTATTTGAGTGAAAGAAGCCAGTTTCAAAAGATTACACACCATATGATTCCATTTATATGACATTCTCAAAAAAGACAAAAAAGAGAGACGGTGAATAGATTAGTGGTAGCCAGGAGTTACGGATGGGGGAGGAGTTAACTATAAAGGAATAACGCGAGTTTTTTTGATGACAGAATTGTTACATATATAATTATGACGGTGGTTACATGAATGGTGCATGTGTTGAATCATAAACCTGTATGCCAAAAGAAAAATTTACAACCTAATATTATCTAGTATTAACAATTAGATGTTAAACATCAGAGAAAAAAAAAACTGGATTATTAGCAATGAGAAGGTGCTGATAAGGAGAAAGAAAGGGAGAGGGAGATGCTGCAGGCTAGACAGTCAGTAATATGCAAGGTCATTCACCAGGGAGGAAGAATCCATGGGGCCTACAGACAGACTGGATGAATGTCGGAGGAACAGAGCAGGGAGCCAAGGTTGGCCCCTGAATGAATCCAAGAGGAACTGACGTGAGGCCTGATCTGTTCAGAAGACTCAGGCAGACACGGGCATCATCAGCACACAGGTGCTGAATGAAGTCTTATATAAGATATCCAAGGCAGATAGACCCAAGAGCCTTCCAATCCCAGCCCCACATTTTACCAACAGAAAAACACTGTGTTACTATCCCCAGAGAACAGATCAGAATCCATCTATGCTAATCAAGTATTTCCCAGCTGCCCTTTCAGCTAAAGGTAGCCACAAAACCCCATTTCAACCAAAGAGAATAAACGGAACTACCAGGAAATGTTTTCCTTTATGGATTAACAAATGGACAGAAACAGCTGAGAAAACAGCCTTTAGTCGCTAAGTCTAAACCTATCCAACCACCTATTCCTGTCTTCAAAGGTATGTGAAGCCTAAAGCTAAGACAGCCATTTTGCAATCAAGATACAATAAGCCTGAGGTCAAATGGCCAACATAGTTCAGGACAGAGGAGAAAGAGGGAAAGTGCCTGGAGTTACTACCACACCCCTCAATTGTCCCCAGATTTCAGATTCTACAGAGTAACTACATCAGTGGGTATTCTGTCATTTCCAGCTGAGAATGTCCCCAACTCACCCACTCATTTCGAAAGCATGCACAAAGATTCAGAAAAACAAAGACCTGGAAATGGGCCCCAAGGAAGAGCAACATCAAACAGAGAGGAGTGGCTCTTTCAAGGGTAATTTTCTGTCCTGATGACAAATGGGGAGGTTTCTTCAGGAAAACAAGCTTTCCATTTCTATTTCCAAGTATCATGTTATCCCCAAGTTACTGTTAAATGGCATGTGGAAGCCCCCAACCATGTTTGCAATAGCTCGTATGTTAAAACTCCAAAAGCATCTTTACCTACCAGTGAACTCCAAAAGCATCTTTACCTACCAGTGAACTTCCATGAACAGGTAGAACAGGAAGTTCAGAACAGTGAACTTCCATCACTTTGTAGAGCCTACACTGAGGAGAGCAAGACATACATGCCACAAAACATCCCAAATCCCCTTACAGAGTTTCACCATGCACATGGGCATTTTTAAAGCCCTGAGAAGTTCTGCAATAGAGTTGTCTAACACAACACTTCTTAAACTTACTTAGTCATAGTCCTCCTTTTCTGCATGCTCCTTTTAGCGAGTGATGGAACCACAATAAGGCTACTGTCATGCCTCACCTAAACTATTGTCATAGGCTTCCCATAGTCTTCACACATTCACCCCCCAACCACTCCCCTACCCACCCACCCACAAGCTGTTCTCTATCCATACTATAGACCCAATGTGCTTTCTGAAATTATTCATACTATGCCTTTTTCTCACTTAAAACACTTTATGGCTTTCCTTATCCTGAAGAATTCTATTATATTACAGCCTATTAAGGAATTCTGTATAAGATGCTTTTTACCTATCCCTCAAGCTTCATCTCACACACACTCCTCCAGCTCTCCATTCTATAGCCACATACCTTCTTTCAGTTCTTTTTTTTTTTTTTTTGAGACAGAGTCTTGCTCTTTCACCCAGGCTGGGGTGCAGTGGTGGGATCTTGGCTCACTGCAACCTCTACCTCCCAAGTTCAAGCAATTCTCCTGCCTCAGCCTCCTGAACAGCTGGGACTACAGGCAGGTGCTGCCACACCCGGCTAATTTTTTGTATTTTAGTAGAGATGGGGTTTCACCGTGTTGCTCAGGCTGGTCGCAAACTCCACAGCTCAGGCAATCCGCCCACCTTGGCCTCCCAGAGTGTTGAGATTACAGGCATAAACCACCACGCCTGGCTACCTTCTTTCAGTACTTTTACACACCATTTTCTTTCCCACCAACAGCCCCATATGCATGAGTTTTCCTCTGCTCAAAACACTCTTATAATTTGTTCTTTACCTTCAAATCATTGATCAATTGTAACTTCTTCAGGTAAATCCTAGATTGGACAAATCTCCCTAATATACAGTCTGATGGCACCACGTGTCTTTCCTTCATAGTACTTAATCACATGTGATTCTTTGAGTAATGTCTGTCTCTCCTGATAGAACTTAACTCCATTAAGTTCAGGGACCCTATCTGATTTTTGTTCCAATGTATCCCTCAATGTGTAGCACAACATCTGGTATATAACTGGTGTTTAGAAATATTAAAATGCATCTGGGTGCGGTCATGCCTTTAATCCCAGCACTTTGGGAGGCCAAGGCGGGCGGATCACTAGGTCAGGAGTTCGAGACCAACCTGACCAACATAGTGAAACCCCGTCTCTACTAAAAATACAATAATTTAGCCAGGCGTGGTGGTGCATGCCTGTAATCCCAGGTACTCGGGGAGGCTGAGGCAGGAGAATCACTTGAACCTGCGAGACGGAGGTTGCAGTGATCCAAGATTGCACCATTGCACTCCAGCCTGGACAGTAAGAGTGAAACTCCGTCTCAATAAATAAATAAATAAATAAATAAATAAATAAATAAATAAATATTAAATGCAAACACAGATTCTAAGCCCTATCTGAAGCGATTATGATATTAAAAGTCTATAGACCATCATGAGGCGACAGTCAAAAGAGCTATAAGGCTAGGCATGGTGCCTCATGCCTGTAATCCCACCATTCTGGGTGGCCGAAGCAGGTGGATCACCTGAGGTCAGGAGTTCGAGACCAGGCTAGCCAACATGGTGAAATCTCATCTCTACTAAAAATACAAAAATTAGCCAGGTGTGGTGGTGGGCGCCTATAATCCCAGCTACTTGGCAGGCTGAGGCAGGAGAACTGCTTGAACCTGGAAGGCGGAGGTTGCAGTGAGCCAAGATCGCACTATTGCACTCCAGCCTGGGCAACAAGAGTGAAACTCTGTCTCAAAAAAAAAAAAAAAAAAAAAAGTTGTAAACAGCAGCTCTGACTACAGGGTAAGCAATACAAATGCATGTAAATATTAAAATCCATATTAAAATTAATGACA